CAGTATACACCTCGGAGTGGAATTGCAGGTCATGTGGTAATTCTAACGTTCAACTTTTTGAGGAACTAACAGACTGTTTTCCAAAGCAGCTACCCCACTTTATGTTCCCACCAGCATTAGAGTGTGAGGCTTTCAGTTTTTCTACAACCTCAGCAACACTGTTAAAAATTATAGCCTTTAAAAATTATAGCCATGCATATACCTCTTGACCCAGCGGTTCTATTTCTAGAAATGTATACTATGTGATATAGTACACGTCAGTAATAAATATATTAGGGGCGCCTGGGTAGCTCAGTCAGTTAAGCATCCAACTCTCAGTTTCGGCTCAGGTCCTGATCTCATGGGTTGTGAGATGGAGCCCTGTGTCTGGCTCCCCACTCAGTGGGAGTCTGCTTGGATATTCTCTCCCTCTTTCCCTTCCCCTGCTCACTCGCTCTCTCTCCTTCTCTGTATGTTTTTTTAAAGATTTTATTTATTTATTTGACAGAGAGAGACACAGCGAGAGAGGGAACACAAGCAGGGGGAGTAGGAGAGGGAGAAGCAGGCTTCCCTGCTGAGCAGGGAGCCCAATGTGGGGCTCGATCCCAGGACCCTGGGATCATGACCTGAGCCGAAGGCAGACGCTTAACGACTGAGCCACCCAGGCGCCCTTCTCCTTCTCTTTAAAATAAATTAATTAATTTTTAAAAGGGCCTCTTTACTTTAAAAAAATTTTTTTTAAATAACAAATACACTAGACATCAGATACACCCATACAATGAAGATCTATGTGGCTGTTATTAAAAAAAAAAAAAGGGAAGCTCTCTATGTAGTGATATGGAAAGAGCATGAAACTATATTAAATGATAAATGCAGAGTGTCAAACAGGGAGTATATGGTATGCTATTGTTTGTTTAGAGTGTGTGCATGTGAAATATCTCGTATATGTATACAAAAGCTCTGCAAGAGCATGTCAGAATCCAGGGAAAAACTGGGTGCAGCTGAGGACTCCGGTAGAAGAGAGATTAGCCCTGGGAAACCTCTTTCATACTTTTCAAATTTTATACAAGGCAAATATATGATCCTGATCAAAATGAACACAGTGAGAAAGCTTTAAAACACTGGAAACCAGGGGCACCTGGGTGGCTCAGGCGGTTAAGCACCTACCTTCAGCTCAGGTTGTGATGTCGGGGTCCTGGGATTGAGCCCCCGCATCGCTCAGTGGGGAGTCTGCTCTCCCTCTGTCCCTCCCCCACCCCGGCTCATGTTCTCATTATCTCTCTCTCTCTCTCTCTCTCAAATAATAAAAATCTTTAAAAAACAAAATAAAACACTGGAAGCCACACAAAACCTCCGTGTAGGCCTGATGTAACCCAGAGGCAGTCTGCCTTGTCTATTTCAACCCTCATCCCTAAGGCAACTGACAACATAGTGAGACAGCTAAGGGACTTCCCCGGGTCACTCAGGAATCAGAGGGGTCACCCGGAGAGGCTTCAGCACCCTCATTTGTAATAAAGTGAGGGAATACAAAGGGAAATCAGCTGACAATAGCAAAGGGCTGGGAAGGAAGCTGTATTCATTTCCCATTGCTGTTGCAACAAATTACCAGAGCCTTAAGGGCTTAAAATTATGAAATTTCTTCTTGTACGGTTCTGGAGGTTCAAGTCCAAAATCACTGCCACGGGGCTAAAGTCAAGGTGTTGTCAGGGCTGGTTCTTTCTGGAGGCACTGAGTGGAGTGTCCGTGTGCTTGCTTTTCTGAGCTTCTAGAGGCGACTTTTACTCCTAGGCTTTATTCCCAGCCAGATAATCCAGGATAATCTCTCCATTTCAAGATCCTTAACTCAATCACATATGCAAAATCCCTTTTGCCATTCAAGGGTTAGGGCATGGATATGTCTTTGGGGGGGGTCATTAATCAGTCCCCACAGGGACCATCCACACACCAGAGAGTCTAACACATTTCTGGTAAACAGATCAGGTAGAGGCTTGGGGACACGAACCAGAGTGAGGAGGTCATTCATTGCATTCAGGAAAGGGCTGCAGGGAAGAGGAAGCCCAGTACGACCAGGGTTCTAGAGTAGACAAGAATGAGAAAAGATAGCCAAGGTGGGCTCAGATGATAATCTGTCCATGCTTTCTGGACCCTGTCCTCCCCCACCTTCCCCAGGGCCCCAGCCACCCAATATTCACATGCAGGAAAATAAGAACCAGACGGCAGTTCCCTAAAGAGATCCAACTCTCGGATAGTCTGAGATGCTAACTAGGATGGGTGCGGGCTTCCAAAAAAAGCCAGCCCTAGTCCGGCGCTTGTGGAGGACAGAAGGGGCAGCCGGCAGCGGGGCTCCTGGCCTCTCACCACCCCCCCCCCCGACATGTGAGGCCAGCCTGAAGGCAAGCCCCACACCCAGACACAAAGCTGCCATTCATGCTCCAGCTCAGGGCAGAGGCCTGGAGGGAAACAGTCCAGCATTTATTTATAACAGGAAGCACAGCCCCATCGCCCACAGACACTAGCCTTGTCCCTCATCTGAGATTGGCAAGGAACAGCAAGTTCACCAGACAGGACCCAGTCGAGGTGCGCACACCGTAATCACGTGGACTTTTTTTTTTTTTAAAGATTTTATTTATTTATTTGACGGAGAGAGAGACAGCGAGAGAAGGAACACAAGCAGGGGGAGTGGGAGAGGGAGAAGCAGGCTTCCCGTGGATCAAGGAGCCCCATGCGGGGTTCGATCCCAGGACCCTGAGATCATGACCTGAGCCAAAGGCAGGCACTCAACAAATGAGCCACCCAGGCGCCCCTCACATGGACTTTTTTTAAAAAAGTACAGGCCAGTTACCTAGTATATATCCCCCATCTTCAATGTCTGATTGTTTCCTGGTTATTAAATGTAGGGTTACATTTTTTTTCCCACAAGAATTCTGCATGGGTAATTTTGTGTATTTTCTATAGTGTCACATCAAGAGACACTTGATGTCATATTGTCCCACTGTTGGCGATACTGTTTGATCATTTGGTTAAGAGGGTGTCTGCCAGGGGCGACTGGGTGACTCAATTGGTTAAGCGTCTGCCTTCAGCTCAGGTCATGATCCCAGGGTCCTGGGATCGAGCCCCGTGTCGGGCTCCCTGCTCAGCGGGGAGCCTGCTTCTCCCTCTCCCTCTGCCTGCTGCTCCCCCTGCTTGTGTTCTCTCTCTCTCTCTAATAAATAAATAAATAAAATCTTAAAAAAAAAAAGGAGGCTGTCTGCCAGAAACCTGCCCTCACTAGGTAGATACATTTTTCCCATTTATAATGAACAAGTCATCTGTTGGGTAATAATTCTGGACTGTTCTCCAACATTTTATCAATGGTTTTAGCATCCTTTGATGATCCAATTATTTTACTGGGGACCCTCTGTGTCTTTCTAATTTATCTGTAATAAGCCGTATTATTTGTTAAAATAAATTGTTTAGTGCCTCTAAACTTGCATAAGCTATGTAGTCTGCACCTGGTCCACAGGAGGTGCTTAATAATGGTATCAACTTTAAAAATCATCGTTACAATTTATTATGCACAAACAAACCTGCTTCATAAATCAGGCCCCCAAACTCTTCAAGCAATCAGACGTGACTAAACTGACATCAGGTTATTTATAACTTCTGTTCCACTAAGTGTGTATTCCTCTCCATAGCACATGATCGTGGAGTCCCTTCCTGATCCTGCTGGGGTTACTGCAGAACCCTGTACATGGTATAATCATTCTATAGCCTTCTAAAATTAAAAAAAAAAAAAAAAATCCGGACTCCAAGCCATATAGTCCTAAGCCTTTCAAATAAGGGACTTTGTGTGGATCTGTACTAAAAATACCACCAATAATACAATAATTTTACAACGCACAGGAGAAAATGCTTCTCCTAAGGCGGTTGGTACCGATGAGAGGTCACATTTATTCGGCGCTGCAAGCGCAGGACCTCGCGCCTTCCTCACGATGGCGCTGTGGTGCTTCGCTGAGGCTCCTAGCAGAGGGGACCTGGGGAACCCATGCTCCAAGCCTTGCCTGTCGTGTGACCCCCAAACAAGAGACTTGCAATGCATGCAAGTCTGGGCCTCAGTTTCTCGTGAGAGGCGTCCTTGGGGTCACGCATAGAAAGCATTTAGCACAGCGCCTGCTAGGAGCGAGCGCTGGGGTAACGGGGACAGGCAACGGTTTACTAGTACGAGCAAGGCCTGGCGTTCAGTGGTCTGGGATGCGCCAGGTCAAGCTCTTGAGGTCCCTTGGGCGATCCAGGGCAATCGGAAGGAACTGGGGCGGCCCAAGAGGTCATGAGAGAAATGGGTCGGGGCCCCATCCTTACTGGTGCTGAACCTCGGATTAATTCGTTTGTCTACAGTTTAGGGGAGCGGGTGGGTTTCTAAAGCAGGGACACACGGGTTGTCGCTGCCGCAGAGAAGTGTGTGTGGGAGAGAGGGTCCACTCAAGAACAGAGCCAGGCTTCTGAGACTCTACGCTGGGGACACGGTGCAAATGCGAGAGAATCCCTACGGATGGGCACTTGATCCAGTGTTTCAAACCAGGCCCAGGGTCGGAGTCACAGCTAAGCCATTTACAGCACTGGCCAGATGGTGGGAGAGACTTTTCGAACGGCGAAGGCGGTTGCAGGCAGGAGGCCTGAATGAGCAGGAGACAAGATTTGGGGGGAGGAGGCAGGGGGAACCAGGCCCACGGCGGAGGCTCTCGGCGAGGTAGACCTCGCCCGGCGGAGGTGGCTGGGGTCGGCACCGGGACCGGGGTGGCAGATCGCAGGGCTCCCGGCAGCAGGTACCCACGTGGGCCAAGTGTAGGCTCTCCAAGAGGCGGGCCCCGGGATCCCCGAGCGCGGGGGCTGCGTCTCCTCCCCGCCGGCCTCGCGGCAGCTGGGCCCTCCCCCGGCGCCGGCCGCCTAGCGGATCCCGCCCCTGCCTCGCTCCCGCCCGCCTGCCGCAGCCGCCCGCCGGCAGATCTCCCAGCCGCCGGCCCCCGCGCCCGCCTTCGGCCGTCACCCCCACCCCCGCAGAGGACCGACTGCCCAGACCGCCGGTCCCGGGGCTCCCTGGGCGTGGCCGATCCCAGGGAGCCCCCCGACTGCCTCCCCGAGCTGGGTGGGGAAAGGGATCTTAGCCCGCCGCCGCCTCCGAGCGGGCCGCCAGGTGAGCGCCGGGACAGGTAGGGATGCAGGTCGGGACCCGTGTCCCGTCCCCACTCCCAGCCAGGGAAGCCCCGGGAAGGACTTCCGCCCTAGACCCTGCCTGGAGGGGAGGATCCCAGGGAGTCCTGCGCCCCAGCCCCGCTCCCTGGGCCCTGCCGGGGTCCTAGGCTGCGCCAGCCCACTGCGCCCCTTTAAGTCCAGAGCCACGCAAACGTTTGAAAAGCCCCAGGCGGTACCGAAAGGGCTTTGCTTTTAAAACGGGTCCTCTGACGCCCACGCCTTCCACCCCGTTGCTCCTCGGCGGAGGCCACCCTGGGATAAATCTCCCCCCCCCCACCCCGGCCAAATGTACCCGATCAACACGTGTACACAGCAGCCCCCGAAAGGCCAGACCACTTTTTACCAGTTCTGGTTTCTGTCTCTTCTGGCTGACGGCCCCTTCGCAAAATCGGTGAATCAGAAGTCTCCGAACACCGGTTCTTGATTTAGCAAGTTTGTTTTTAGCTGCGGCCGCTCTTCCGAATTTAAATTTTGTTCTTCTAAGTTAACTTTTGCAAGTGTTGAGTAATAATCTTGTAACGCCCCGTATCTTGTTCTTTTCAATCTGGATCCTTCAACTTTAGATAGCATCTGGTAACTAACAATTTGGAAAGACTGCGGTATTAGGAACCTACTTTTACAATAAATAATTTTTTAAGTGCCCCGGTATGACACAAGAACAAAAGACTAATAAGGCAAAGCTTTGCATCAAGCACAGCCCTTGAAAAAGCAGCCCCCGGCCCCACAGCCAGTTAAAATTTTATGTAATTAAATGACTTTTCAGAAATGGCAAAAGTAACTTGTGATCTGTGGTGCGTCTTTTAAAACCTTTGCTCCTTTTTATTTTTCTTACCAGAAAAATAAAATCACTTCCAGATCTTTAAAGCAAATTCTGGGATGATTTCTTATTTTGTCAACTTTTAGACAATGTCCAGTAATCCCTTGCTAAAAATAGAGACAGCTTTACTATTGTCCAAGTTTCCCTCCTCCCTGGATAATCACACTTTCCTTGTTGTTTCTCTATTGGCTGCTTTTGTAACATCAAAAAACAAAACAAAAAACAAACAAAAAAACCCATCCTTTTAAACGTGTTCCTTGTTCCATTAAATATTTATAGGATCTATTGACTCCCCATTTTGTGAGGCCTGGCTGAGGAATCTGCTTTAATAATATATTTTTAAATAAAATTTTTATATTTATTTAAATACTTATTTTTTCATCCAATCAAGTCATATATGTGGTTCGCAAATCAAATAGAAATGAATCTACCTTTTTTCCCCCTATTATAGAAGCACTGTCTCTTTAAGAAAATGGACAGGACAGTTAGGGTTTCAAACTAAAAGGGATTAGGGGGCCATGACCACCCCTAGCAGTATGTGAGTCCCCAATTTTGTCAGAAACCGCTACAAAAGACCTTTCTGAGACAATGGGGGAAATTGTTTGCGGACTGAATATTAGATATCAGAATGAATTGCTCTTAAGTAATGGTGTTCAGTGGTAGTGTAGACCTATAGTGACCCCTTATTCCTTCTTTTCTTAATTTTTTATTTAAATTCAATTTAGTTAACATGTAGTGTATTACTGGGTAGAATTTAGTGATTCACCAGTTGTATATAACACCCAGTGTTCATTACCCCTTATTCTTTCTTAGAAGATGCCCGTTGAAGTATTTAAGAATTCATCAAAGGACAGAAAGCAAATATGGCAAAACGTGGAACATAGAGATGTTCATTTTACCATTCTTTCAACTTTTCCATGTGATGAAACTTTTATGGTAAAATTTGGGGAAAATAAAGTAAGACAGGTAGAAACTAAGGAGATCAAGATCCACACAGCGGTAGGAACTCTGGGGTCCTCCACACCCAGGTTCACATCCCAGCTCTGCCGCTTGGGTGTCAGGTGACCTTGGGTCCATGGCTCCACTTCTCCAAGCCTCCGTTTCCCCAGCTGAAAAATGGTACCTCCCTTATGGAGCTGTTTGTGATACTTCTGTGAGATTTTGCAAAGCCCTCGATGCATGTGTGGAGCAATTGTGGGCAGTTAACCACAGCTATTAGTTTGTGAAGGATTTTTCTCAACTACCATAGTGTGCTATGTTAGCTAACATCATAACCACAGTTGGGCCCTTCCTTCTACTCTTTTTTTCTTAGAGAGAGATTTTTTTTTTTTTATGTAGGCTCCACGCCCAACACGGGACTTGAGCTCACAACCCTAAGATCAAGACCTGAGATCAAGAGTCGGCGCTCTACTGACTGAGCCACCCAGGCACCCTGAGATAGATTTTGAACTGGGCATTTCTTTTTCCTTTTTAAAATTCACCCAATGGCTCTGATCTTGACATTGGTCATTTTTTGCCCTGCTGTGTTTGGTCCTGACTTCCTAGGCACCGGTCCCCTGTGCCCCCATTCCTGTAGTTGGGTTTCAATGACAGCATGATTCTGACAGGGAGGTGAGGTGTGTGCTCCAATCCCACAGCTGGACGTGATCTACAAACATAGTAACTAATGATGTCCGGGGCCAGGACTTGATCGTGCTTAATTTTCCTATAACCCCAAAAAGGTGGGAATCATTAGAAGTCTGCATTGTCTTATCTAAAACTTTGGGGCCCGGATGTTAGACTTTCTGAACGTGAGGCAAGTCATGGGGAACCCATTCTGAACATTACAGAAGACCCCTGGTGGGGCTGGGGAGCGCCGTGTAATCAAACACACTGGTATTTTCTTCAGTGAAATGCATGTTCGTAATCAGTGGGATAATTAAATCTCACATCAGTTTGACCCAGTTCTTTTTTTTTAAAGATTTTATTTATTTTATTTGAGAGAGAGAATGAGAGAGAGAGAGCATATGAGAGGGGGGAGGATCAGAGGGAGAAGCAGACTCCCTGCTGAGCAGGGAGCCCAACGCAGGACTCGATGCTGGAACTCCAGGATCATGACCTGAGCCGAAGGCAGTCACTTAACCAACTGAGCCACCCAGGCGCCCCAGTTTGACCCAGTTCTGCCACCAAATGGGTCTGGGAAAGATTCGGATTTCAGAGCTTTTGGATTTAGGGACTGGAGAGAGGGGTTGTGTACCTGTACATTTCTCATTTTAAGGAGAGGAAATTCCACTCAGAGAGGGAAGGCCATTTCCCCAAGGTCATGAACAAGAGTTTGGGGTGGGACTGAGCCAGGGCTGACTGACCATAGAGAACCTGCAACGTTCACCTCTCCCCAGGGCCCCCTCCCATGGCCTGTCACCAGCAATTCCCAAAAGCAATGTCCCTTGCTCTCCTTGTGATGCTTCTCACCCAGAAATATCACTGCTGCCTCCTGGGAATGAGATGATGCACAGAAAGAATTTTCCAGAGTACCTTGCACAAAGAAAGCCCTCGGCAAATGTGAACTGTAACTTGTGCTAAGATGCAATGAGACTGTTTCCTTCTTGGGTTCAATAACATCAGTGGTGTTTATCGATAGCATTAATATTTTTCAGATTACAAAATAGAATGTCCGTCCAGACAGGAAAGTATATAAAACAGATGTACCTTTTAACAAAGAATTGTGAAATATGTAACCAGGGCCCAGGTCAACCGCAAGGACATTGTCAGCCCCAAAAGCTTCCCCAGGTGCATCTGGTTAATAGCCCTCTCCCTCCGTCGGTGGGGAACAACCACCCTGACTTTTATGATACTCATTTTCCTATTTTGCTCTTCTTTCTGTGGTTTAGTACCTATGTGTACACCTATAAACAATATTTGATTCGTTTAGCCTGTTTGTGAACTTTCTAAGAGTCGTGCCATTGGTGTTGAGTAGATAATTTACCATCCAAACCAGGAAATTTTGGAAGCAATAGGGGCCGCTAATTACCCTAATTACCCTGGGACTACCCCAGGCAACTCAGGCTGTCTGGTTGTCCTAGGACTAACACCCTAGGTGCCTTGTGTTCAGCGTCTTTCACCCCAAATGAAGCTTTGGAGGTTCATCCATGTCGTTGTGGGTGGTTGACGTTAACTCCTATTTATTGCTATGTAGCGTACCCTTCTGTGACTCCCTTAATTTACTTATACATCCTATAGTGGATGGGCATCTGGGTCATTTCCAGACTGGAGCTATTAGAAACAGTCGTGTCATGAATATTCTAGTACGTGTTTACTGGTGCTGGGGTCGAATTGCTGGGTCATGGGACAGGCACATTTTCAACTTCAGTAGAAAAATGCCCATCTCATTTCCACAGTGGCTAGACCAATTTATACCCCCATCAAGACTGTAGGTGAGTTCTCACTGATAGCATTTTAAGTAAATTATGGTGACAGTTTGCACTGGTTGGTTGGTTGGTTGGTTGGTTCGTTGAAAAAAAAAAAGCATATTCTTTCCTTGCATTTAAGTTAAAATATACCAAAAAGCCAAAAGAACTTTACCTCCCACTTCACCCACGCCATGACCTAGAGGGCACTTGGGTCATGGAGGGGGTAATAATGAAATGACAGAGAAATAGAGAGAGGGATCTGGAGCCAAGCATCTCGGTCTCCCCCTCCCCGCACCTTCGTTTCCCATCTTTTGTTACTTGTACATTTATTTTCACAGTGTCAAGGTTGATAACGTCTACAGTCTGTTCTGTTACCATATTTAAGTCTTACAGGCTTTCACTGTTGAGTTTCCAGGGTTTTTGTGACAGCTTTAGTGAGACGTAATTTACATACCATAAAAGTCAGCCCTTTAAAGTGTACAATTCAGTGATTTTTAGTGAATTTACAGGGCTGTGCAGACATCACTAGTTTTAGAGCATTTCTGTCATCTCCAAAATATCCCCTGTGCCTATTTGTGGTCACTTCCCTGTTCCCAAGCCCAGCCCCAGGCAACTACTAATCTTTCTGTAATGTTAGATATTGTCATTTTTGGACATTTCATATAAATACATCATACAATATGTATTGGCTTTTTGGGTTGGACTTTTTTCACTTAGCGTGCTACTTGGGGGTTC